TAGTTGTTCTTTATTTATTTGATATTACATGTAAACATTCAAGCCTAGGGCTTTATTTGTATTTGAGTTAGCACTCATATTTTGTGTCCAAGTGTTGGCTTGGAAAGATGTTAGCCCGTAAGGCATTTAATTTGATGTTACATGTAATGTTTTTTTTTAATAAGAATACTCTGATGAATAGAATAACGGTTGGTTTTCTTTTATTAATGCATGTCAATGTTATGTATATTATGGGTTTATTTTGGGAGCGTTACACCATCCGTTTCAAAATATTAGTCCCTTATTCTATTTTTTATTGTCCCAAAATATTAGTCTATTTTTAAAAATCAAGCATAAAAATAATATAAATTTCCTATTTTGCTATTATTTTAAATTTATTAACAACATAAAAAGTACAATTATGACATTGATATTTCTCAAAAAATGTAGTATCAAAAGGTAATTTTGGAAATCAATTTTTTTAAAGTACAATATTTATACTACTAAAAAAAATTAGATTCTCCAAAATAGACCATTATTTTAAGACGGAGGGAGTATATATATATATATATTTTAAATCCAAACTTCAAACATAGAAAGAAGAACTATCTATACTATTATTAAATTATTATTTTTTTTTAAAAAAAGAGTAATGTTATTCTTTATCAAATATTAGAAATTTTATGTTAGAATTTTTTTTTAAAAAATTATTAATTTTTTATCAAATATTTTATGTGTGTGTAAAATTTATATGATGTGAATTTCACATCTATATAAAATACTGAGTAAATTTTTTTTTTAAATCTTTTGAAATTTATAACATTTTTCTTTATGGAATCTCTCTGCTATGCTAACAACAATGTGGCAATCAGGACGGGACAAGAGAGAAGGGCTACCGACGACGACCCAACAGGTCACCTGTTAGCAACTTTGGAACAAAGTAATGTTAGGATACCAAATAAAATAATTATTGTATAAAATACTTATTTGGAGTTTGACATTTTTATTTGGGATAATACTCTACACTTATTCATTGCGTGATATTTATCTAGTTTTCGCTTAAAATAGATACGAAAGTGATGAGATAAACATTATCAACAAAAATTAATCTGTTGAGACTTTTTTAGTGTATAAATAATACATGAAATATGATTGATACCTAAACGTATGAATCTCATATTCAAAAGAATAATATTAGGGACCATGAAATATTTCATGAAAATTTTTTATTCATTGATTAGTGTGTAGTGTTTTCTTATATATGTAATCTAATGATGGAAATCTTTCATGATCATTTTTATAATATTTTTTTCATGATACCTAGCATTACTCTACTAAAAAATGTAATGATCTCACCCAAAATACACATTTTGATTGATTGAGAAGAGTAAGATCTATCATTTTAAATAAAATTGTTATACTTTATGAGTACGAGATCCATATATTTAGACTAATTAATCATATTTTGTATATTATTCACGCATTAACAGCGTGAACAAATTCATATTCCCATCCAAAATGATAAACTCAACTATTTTTTTACCAATCAAAATGTATATCCTACTTTAACCAATTAAAATAAGGTTGGAATACCACATAAAGTTGCCGCAAAACCACCATATTTATTTTGGACAAATTACAAATACCCCTGAAGTTTGAGAAATTACAAATTCTCCCCTAGAATGCTATATTTGCATAACAAATTAGGAGGTAATTTGTTATGAAATTTAAACTTCAAGGAATAAATTATTATGAAAATACAAATCTTATGGGGCGGGATATAATTTCCGAAACTTCAGAGAAATATCGGTAATTTAACCAAACTTTAAGGGAGGTATATGTAATTTGTCCTATTAATTTTCAGGAACTGCTGACTCGTGTTGGAAAGCAAAAATCGCAGTAACATAAAACCTTATCCAATATAATAGAAAAATCATTTCTTCATCCAGGGTGTGATCCTACTCTTATCAATGACAAACTACCATATTTCCTCATGTTAATTAATTAATCACCCAGTCTTGTTTGATATAAATTAAATTGAAATTTTTTTGACTAAAAAAATTACAAAAAAAAAATAAAAATTAACAAGATAAAATATTACATCAAAATCATAATCATTTTATTTTTTCTCTCACAAAAATTAAAAAATTCAAAAAATCTATTTCAAATGAGATTTTTTAACCTTATACTAAAATAGATAAAAAATTAAAAAATTAAAAAATCAACTCATATCCCAAACAAACTCTCAATATAAAATCATAAATCTCAACCCCCACCAACATCACCACTTATGTTAATTAATTAAGAAAAATGATTGTGAACTCTAACAAAGGAATTCTAATGAGCTTTAATGGGAGTGGATCCATTATAATATTTTGACTTTGATTTTAATATCTAAGGAGAGTAAATCCCACTGTGATGTGATATTTTGACCTTAATTTTATTTTATTTTATTTATTCTCTACCATATTATTAGAGCTCAATTAAAACTTCAAAATTAAAAAAATATATCATTACTCATTAATTAATCACATGTATAATCGTAAATCTGAACCCCCACCAATCACATCACTTGAGACATCATAATATCTCAAAATTACCAAATAACTTATTAATATAATATAGGAATTGTTTGGCTAAAAATTATTTGATCAAAATAAGTAATGAAGATAAAATATATTAAAATAATTAATAACATAAAATATCACATCTAACTTATAATCATTTTATTTTCTCTCTCATAATTATTGAATTGATTATAATAATAAAAAAAAATCAATTATTATTTCAAACATAATTTTTTAATCAGACTAAAATTAAAAAATCAAATAATCAGTTAAAACAACCTACTTTCAAACTAGCCATAATAACAGTGTAAGCTCTGTTGTTCAAAAAAAAATGTCCACAAAAGCTGAAAAAAATAGCCATAATAAGAATAATGCTTGGGACCCCTTTTGGGAGTCACCCCTCACCCCCCTTTGTCACGTGGCAGGAGGTGATTAGAGGAGCAGGAAAAAAAAGAAAAAGGAAAAGACAAGGTAACCACTGAGAGAGAGAGGGGGTCAAAGGGGGTGGAGGGAAAAGGGGGATGAATCATTACTCCCATAATAATAGTCCTGTTATGTCTGCGGGGAGTTGGGGTCACAGTAGTGATTGTTGTGTTTTATTTTGTGATGTATTATGGGCTTATTTTTATGATCTGAACCGTTCATTTTGTAGAATTTGTTGAGTACTTCAAGCTTACCAAAAATCATATTAATCGGATATCAACAACTATATGATCGAATTGCATATTTTTATACTATTTTTCAAAAGAAAAACTTCTTGTTTGTTTTTTTGATTATCAATCATATAGTTATTGGTATCCGATTAATATGATTTTTGGTAGACTTAAAGTACTCAACAAACCCTATAAAATGAATGATTCAGATCATAAAAATAATCTCATAATGCATCACAAAAATAATCTCATAATGTATCACAAAATGAACCACAACAGTCACTACTGTGCCTTGCCACAGCAAGTGACCCATAATCCATCTAATAGAGAGTATTATCTTTTAATTCCCATAGGGTATTTGTCAAAAGTATTATGTCACGACCAAAACTAAGACCCCACGTGTCACTGCTCGCACAACAATGACTGGACAAAATACATGCTGACGGCGCAGTCGTTTCTGACGTATAACATTTTTAAATTAAAAAAAAAAAAAATTTATAATTCATACCAAAAAAATTAAAAATTATATTCTCTTTTTTTTCTACAAATCTTATCGTAAAAAATTAAAAAATCATTATAAATATATTAACCTTTCGTTTGGTAACATCATTTTTTAATCTAAAAATTAAAAAATCATTTAAAAAAATAAAAGATCCAACAATCTACACTAAAAAATCAAAAAAATTATTTTTTCTGTACTTTTTACATATTTTTTGTAAAACAATAAAAAATCATTCCAATTATACTAATTTTTTTTACATCATATTTTAACCAAAAAAAAATCAAAAATTACTAAAAAAATTTATTCTCAAATAAAACCTAATTTTTTATCTCATATTTTAACTAAAAAATTAAAAAATTACTAAAATAACATATTCTCAAACCAGCCTTATTTTACGGATAAGCTGAAAAAAAGAGAATGACTTACGTGTCAGATAACCCCAATTCCCTGGTCAAGGGGATGACTTACGTGTCAGATAACCCCAATTCCATGGTCAAGAAGAGGGTTGCCACTCCAGCTCCTGCCAAAACTACAACATGCCGCTATGGCACAGCAGCCCTGCTTCAAAATTTTGTAAGCACCTTTTAACTGTATTTTAATAATCTAAATGGCTTACATTATAAAATTTATCAAGTATATCATTTATATAAAATAATCAAATTAATTAAACATCTGTAATCCTATGATCAAATCTTAATTATTTTAAAAAATTATTAAAATCATATTGACCGTTTATTTTTTGAAAAACAAACATATTCATATTATAAAACTACAAATATCCAATTTACTTGATTTTTTACATGAATGATCTATTCAACGAATCTTATAATATAAACGATTCGAATTATCAAAAAAAAGATTCAGACCATGCCCCTAATAGGTCTCACAGTAGCCTACTGCACAGCAGGAACCCAACTCCCATAGGATGTCCCAAGAGCAATGAATAATTTTCCCTGGATAATGTTCCAATTTTAGACAGGCTTATGTCAAGTCCTTGCGTCTCTCCTGGATAAGCTTAATGTCACTTCCATTTAAAAGTAATACAAACAAAATTGCCATGATGGTAACATTCGTGGCTAAATTCATCTCTGAAAAACGAAGATTTCTTCAAGCAATTCAAAAGATTAACAGTGGGGCCACGCATTAGCTCGGACTAGGTGGCTAATGCTGAACCTGGACTTTGGACTTTCCATACCAGCAATTTTTCATGCACTCAAAACAGTTGACAACTAACAAACATACAGACTTGTCACCAAAATAATTACTGGAATTGATCTATCGCAACATGGCAGTGCAATGGAAGCATCAAGAGCTGAAGTATAAGATTAAAAGCAAGGAAGCTTCGCTTTGTCCACCTACATCTTATCCGTTCTTTTACACAACCCCCTTTTTTTTTCCTAGCAAAATCATTGTTCCTTATTGTCAAAACAGAACAAATGGACTCCTAATCACAATGGCTCACCTTTAGCAATTTATTATCCAAAAGCATGACATTTAACCGGACAGTTTACCAAGACCACAAATAATTATTTCCCTCTTAATTTTTACAAAGATGTGAGGACATGTTCATATTGATTAAATACAATGTTCAAAGTCCACGTGCCACACGTACTTTAAAAGTCAATTCGAATTGCCTAAATGGCACACGGGCCACAAACACATCCCAAAACATTGCAAAACTCTCATACAACGATGAGAATCTTTCATATGAATGGGAAAATTCTCATACCAGATTTAGTGCAATATGCATTTCCAACCATTAACCCCATGTCAGCATAGGAGAGAGGCCATAACAGCAAAAAGCGTAAAGGTGTGTCAAGGATACAGTTTGCAAAGGGGGAAGTAATGCTCTGCAGTTAAAACAAAAACAGAAGTGAGTACCTTTAAGTGATAAAGAAATGGCAAACACAATGGTGGATTAAGGACTTACACCAATCACATGGTTTGACTTCATCTTTTAGGGAGATGCGGCTTTATTGTTTCTACAACCACCTGTTTTGCAGAGGAAGCAATTTTTACATAAAATAAAATAAAAAAATAAAAATTAAGCTTGAAATTCTGATCAGTACTGGAAAACCTGAAGATTAGCTCTTTGTAGAAAGTTCTTAATTTTCTTTATGCTTCTTAGTTTTGATTAGGTTGGACAAGGTGGTAGGCCCCCTAGGCATGTTTTGCAGCTTACATTGGTCAACACTGAAATCACCATAATGCTGTTGTCTTAGGTTTCAATATTGCATGACAGATGAGGCTTGAGAAAATGCAGCAACATTTGTTATGGGGTGATTGGGATACAGTGTGCACTAAAGATGGAGGAGGGTTTGAGTATTAAGAGACTAGATATATTCGCAAGTTCCTTTAGAGCCTCGCTTGCAAAAGGAATAGATATTGAAGAAGGTGGTGACAACCAAATATGATAGCTCTTGGGGGAAGTGTATGTCTTATGGGAGAGGCCTTTAGAAAAGTATTTGCCATGCCTGGGATGATTTCTCCAGATTTACAAATTCAAAGTTCGAAAGGGGAGGTAAGAGTAAAATGTTAAACCCAAAAATGGTGCAAAGAGGATGCTTTGAAGGGATCCTTATATTTTTCTACTTGCCACAAACAAAGAAGCCTTGGTTGCAAATTACACAATGGGGGTAGGTAGTAGTGTTTTCCAGTATGTTACAAGGAATGTATATTGGGGAATGGAGCAGGTCACTATCTGTTTGGTGCAGCTTATACAAGCTACTTATAGCTTTTTCGTGAGTCTATACCAAAATGTTTGGTGAAACTTTAGTTTATAGTTTATTAGGCAGAAATAGCTTAAATATGCTGAAAAAATTGATTATCTAAAAGCTGGAAAGGGGTGCTTTTGGCTTTTGCATTTTGATCATTATATTGCAGCTTACAATAAGTTGCACCAAACAGACCCGTATCTCCGCAACTTGTTTTATGCGTGCAGGGGTATAGGATAAGAACAAAACTTCTTGTGTTGGGTACCTACTTAGAAGTGAAGAAGTCCTTTTATAGGGCTTTGTTGTGGGATAGAGGAGCGGTGTTCACTTGGAAAGGAATTTGCAGATGGAGCTCCATCAAGGTGGCCTTTTTTGTATGAAATGCAACATGTGAGAAGATCCTTACGATTGATAATTTAATTAGGAGGCAGCAGATCCACACTATTGGTGTTGCCATTGGTAGAGTGATCATGAGTCATTCTCTCATCTGCTAATACATTTTAAGCTGACAAGGGACTTTTGGCATCATGTTTGATTATAGGGGTGGGGAAAAAGGCGGAAGGTGTGGTTGTTAGTTCCATTGTGTTTGAAGTGGCTTTTATGGAGGGCTTGCAACAAGAAATTTCACGGTATATAGAACCTTTGCTTAGGATTAGAAGTAGTTTTATTATTATTTTGTATAGTTGGAGTCCAAAGAAATTTATGTCGTGTCTTGATCACATAGTTGACTTTGTCAACCCTAAAATCTTTACACTTCCAAGAATCTCTAGGCCTCGATGTGTTTTGAGTGTATAGGCTTCTTTGTCTTTTGGGTTATCATGAACCTTTTGTGCATGGGTTGCATCCCCTTTTGATGCCTTCTAATACAAATTACCTACTTATCCAAGAAACAAATTATATTTCCAAATTACCAACTTATACCATAGTAAATATTGTACAAAATGCTCAGAATTAGTTAATGGCCCACTGCTAGAACAAACTGGAAGTTATCAGATTGTGCAGCAGGCATCAAATAATTACCTATTTTATGTGGCCATTTATGAGCCTTGAAGCATGGATTTATCAAGAACAAGATTTTGTTTTGTATTTTTTATATAATTCTTAATTTTACTGATAAAAAAAAATAAATTTAAGAGTGGGAATTTTGGAGCCCTCTTTTTTCTCCCTATCATACAAAAGCAGAGTGTTCTTACCCTCCCATCATAAGACAATGATGCGAAAATCCAAGGCTCTCGAGAGCTCCAGGAAAGGCCTGCAATTTCAGGTAAAACTAATCAGGCCAAGTTCGGACATTAATATTTTTAAAATGAAAAAAAGAAAAAGAAAAAAATAGCGAAGTTGCAGCAATCACCATAAACACTGTCTTCATAGTCACTGTATGAATTGAGCAATGGATCTGCCAGCCTTGTAGGTGACTTCACCAGGCTGCCAGAATCGTAAACATAAATAAGGTCATCTGAAGAAATGAAAAAAATAAAAAATAAGAAAAAGAAAACAAAAGTGGTGAAATTTGTAACTTCAGAATAAGAAAATGACCTTTCATATGTTATATCATCACTGCTTGGAGGAGAAGTTAACCATACGTTGACGGTTGAGTCTGTTCCAGCAGTCTGCAAAAGTGTTTCTTCTGTCAATGAGACATTATTGGATAGGAAAACAGTTATCCAAAGAAGAAAGGCAATCATGAATGAAGAGATACATTTTCAATATAAATAAGTGAGGCCTCAACTTAAATTCGTGACATTATATGGGCCAAAGAGAAACCATTCAAAAGGTAATTTTAAGTAAATCTAGTTTCTTTCTGGCCTTGTGTTCATGCTTAACCAAAAGGAATATGTCTCTTCTCATGATGGATAAAGAAAAAGGGTGAGATTCACATGTGTATGTGTATGTGTATGTGTATGTGTTTGTGTTTGTGTTTGTGTGGAGAGAGAGAGAGAGAACCAGAATTAGCCCATCATACTCGGGATTACATCTGACAGCCCATGTCCTGCAAGCAATACCAAAAAGGGTCAATCAGACTACTGTCAAGCACATGCATACAATATATATTGTCAAGTGAAAAAGGATATGTAATCAGGGCTCATAACGCATGAATGGATATAAATGAGAATAGGCCAGTGGCGTAAAATGATACCAGTGTGCATGTCCAGGGAGCTCTAGGATTGGAACATTTGGCATTCTAAGATCCCATACGTGTATCCCTGATTCATCCTCTGCAGTTACCTTTAGCATTGACAACAGTATTATTATACAGTGCCAATTAAACTGGATAATCAATAAAAAGTAGTCCAATAGAAAAACATATGTAGAGATTTTTGCTAAACAAATAAAATCTCATTCCTTTGTGACATGGCAGCAATCTCTCTCTCTCTCTCTCATTGAAATTTTCAATCTATATTTCATGTACAAGGTCATTGTAACTTCAAAACTGGTCTGCAGATCATTATCACCATTTTGTAGATTAGAACTGGTTCAAATTAAATGACCAATTTCAGAGTTTAAACATTGTCGAAAACAATGGAAATATTTCATTTCCATGCATGTTCAAGGTATCGTAATGGCATGGAAGTTATGACAAAAAAGACGTGAAAATTAGAACAATAATAAGCCAAAGATAGGAATATAGTCATCCAACGTGAGAGTTGACTGGTGATTAAAAGTATAACACCAGATAACCATTCGAGCAACAAAAAGAAGTCCATTATATGAAAGATTATATTAGAGGGATGTTTACGTTTGTGTCTGTGTGATTGATAGCTAACCAACAAACAACAAAGGGAATGTCCAGTCATTTTTGTCAGAGTACCATGGAATTCACTTACTTTTGCATTCCATTGATTTTAAATAGGTACAATCCAAATGACTCTCAGGCAGGCATCTGAATCAGGTATAGTCTAGAGTATAAGCGATTTATTAATTTTGGATTGGAAAATTACAACAAGAGTCATTTCTGTGAATCAGCCGATGATACAACAAGTTGGGTCTTTAAAAGAACAACAAAAACAAAATTAAATAGGGAAAATTTCATTTTACCCCCTTATGGTATGGGTCATGTGGTCATAACCCCGTAACATTAGAAAATAAGCACACAATAAGTGCAACTAACGCACTTTTGTTGAGTGTCATTTTTGGGGACAAAAATGTCCTTACGATTCTACAAAACCACAAAAATTACCCTCTTCTTCACTCTACTATTTCTCTCCCCCAAACCACCCCCACCTATGCACTTCTCTCACCATCAGCAGTCATCACTGGTTCGTCTCCTCAATGAAACACACACACGAAGCACCTTCAGCCGGTACTCACCAAGAAGCACAAACACAAAACGCCACAGCTGCATGCATAACACAGCTTCCATTCCTACCACCCAGCCAAGCTGCTACCAGTGCCCACACTGGATCTTGGGTCAATCCGGTTATGTAATTGGAGTGAGAAGGTATGACATAGAAATCTATATGAACATTCCCATAGACTATATTGTATACCTTCCGTACAAAATAAACACATAACCAGGTTGACCCAATAGCAGAACAAATTTTTTGATATTCTCACAAAATAAACATGCTGGGCATTTTGAACCAAAGACCTTTAGAATAAAAATAAGGCAACCAGCCACTAGCCAACGCTAGTCCAATATTTATCAAAGGACATTTATTAGATCAATATAAAAAACACCATGCAAAGAACGGAGATTATTGTATTGGGACTCCACACAAAAGTTCTTTTAGCATCTTTACACTTTTCCGGGAAAATATCATTTATTGATTAAAAAGGTAATAGCAGTGAATACAACTCAGAGCCTCAGCTCTGCACTTCTCCCTCTGCTAATGCCAGTAAGCAAGGGAAATCTCCCCTCCCATCACTCTTCCAAGGAGACAGATAGGGCATGTTATGCCACTCCATGGACCACCCCATTGCCTCCTAAAGTTTGTTCTGCACAAATTATTATTTTCCATTCCAACATTGCTGCCACACTTAATACCACAGGAATCCCAAAAATATACATGTATGAAAAACATATAAATATATATGAATACACACTCAGCTATACTTAAAAAACATAATCTTAAATGCACTTAGTTAGAGTCACAAACATGATTATATATTGGACATATGAAAGCATACATGCGCATCAAGCCTTCAATCTTTCAGTTCTTCAAAATAATAATACTAATAATATGAAATAATGCTGGTTTCCCTCAAATTCTCCACAATTTCAAATAAAACTATGAGTCATGTAATTGATTCAATAATAAAACTAATTGAACCACGACGGAAGTTGCCCACCCCACTCCTGACAAATCTAATAACTATGGTCTAAATAAAGATGAGCTCCTTGCTATTGCAAACAATTGCAAATACTTTAACATATAGGCATGTTTAAATGAACTCAACAGTTAGATACTTACAAGTATATTCTTCCTTTTGGTGTCATAATCTACATTATGAACATGGGTGTGTTCAATTGAATTTTCTTTCCTGCAAGCACAACATTATCAGCTATGATTAGAATTTAATATCCCATGAAGGAAAGGCTGAAGCAATTTGCAGTTCCAATCAGTTTCAACCCGTAAAATGATATTCGGGAGTCACTGCATGGTAAAATGTTAAAAATTCAAACGAGTTGAAACAGAAACCATTAAAAATTACTTGAAACAAACGAGGTGGAAAACACTCCCCTTAAAACGACTCCCTATTTGAATGAATACAGTATAAGGGGCTATGGGGAGTTGGTACAAAGAATGAATCATGAAGAAACAAATCAAAGAGGCTTCATCCACAAGCCTTTTTGCCATTTATTCAAGAGGAAAATAAAACTCAAGTGTAAGCTTCAACCATGGTTGGTCTATGGATGTTTATACAAGACCCTCAAAAAGCAGGGGATGCATTTCATGCACACACCTGCACACTGCGAAGAGAGCTCCCTTAAGTTATACTATAGGATGCACAAGGACGGCACGTAATTGACTGTACAGTTTACTTTCTAAAGCAGAAAGCACTGAGATTATGAAGCGAAGTCCCACATCACCTGACTATTAAAGTAATGTTAAGCATATAAGCATGAATGTACCCTCACCTTAATAGCTAGCTTTTGGGGTGAGTCGTACCCAAGACCGTGTAACAGAGATTCCCTTTTTAATAATTTTAAAATAATAATAAAACAGTTGCAATTATTGATGCAGACCAGATTCATCCTCAGACTTCCTAAAGATTTGATAAAAACATTCTTGGTCAGCATCTCCATGATGCAAATATTAAGATATTCCGAATATCTGATTTGTCAATCATGACTACATATCAGATTCTTCCTCAGTGACTTCCCAAAGATTTGATAAAAACATTCTTGGTTAGCATCTCCACAATGTAGATTATTAAGATATTTTGTGTAATCTGATTTGTCAATCGTGACCATCCAAACAATTTAGTTTAAGTTTGTTAGTTCATAAATCCCTCAAATCTGTATCTCTTGCTACACTGTCATAGAAAAATGTTTGAGACCCCTAAAAAGCTCCCACAATTTGACCCACAATGATGTGATATGATATCTGTCCACTTTTGATTTGTTACAGGCCCTTGATATAGGGCCCAACTCTTTTGTCACATCATTTTGAGTGAATTTGTGGATCTAAGATTGTGGGTCTCTAGCACTTCTCATTGTCATATATGTATGTAAAAGCTAATTCAGCTTGTTGAATAAATCTGAAAGCACAGTTGTAGCCTCTTCTTTTTTTTTCAGAAGCTCGTCTAAGATGATGCAAACTCATGTGATTGAGTCTAAAACGAGAAAAGAGCTTACTTCATTGTCCTTAGATCCCAAAATTGGATTGATGATTCACATGTCAATGCAACAGAATTCACATCATGTGGATCCCATGCTCCACCAGATAAGTAATGAAGCATTCCAGCTGACTCCTGTGATTGTACCTACATTTCATCACAAAACCTGATTAGTAGGATTTCGGAGTAACATCACTGTCATTTTGATGTTAGGGTTTTTGTATAGCACCTATTATAAAATATAAAACACAAGGCACCTAGAACTGAATAGATAAATTTAAACCAATGAGAAATTAAATATGAAATTTGAGAAACAAGGAATAACAAAAGCATAATCAAGTGATAAGAATCTAAAATGGATGATACCATAATTTCTTCATTTTAATGAAGTTGAAAAGTAAAGCATCTGCTATTAGGTTAATTGAAATGTTTTAAATGCAATTGCAAGGCATTAGGTCAAGTAAATGTCTTCAAATCCAGTCATCCCCTCATGCAAACTGATCTGAATTTCTGAAGTGCTAGAAATACTAGTAGACCAGGGCAATAGTGAAAGGCATAAGAAGTGAATTTAATCTGGCTATGTTTTTCTAGGAAAGCATTCTTACCATTGATTTGAATATGTACAGAAACAGAAAACAAATCCCGAACACTTGAAAGGAGTAATATGGAAATAAGACAAATCCAGAAGCTTCATTTGATGCAGAAGATGTTTAATGTTAAAATACTTATAAACATGCAGTTGGAGAAATACGCAATGCAAACAATCAAGCATGTCCATGTGCTTAAGCCCTCTCTGCTTACAGTGCATTATCATCACATCATGACAAAGCAAGCAGCTAGGGAGTGGTAACAGCCTTAAGAGGATGAGTCAAATGAGGCATATTTTTTATCTTAGAACCAAGTGATCATCCTCATTGAGCTTCACACATCAACTTGCCCCTCCCCCATCCCCATCTATATGCAATTGTCTAGCAGCTACTAATGTAAAGAAGTATTTATGTATGTGCACTATAGGCATTAAGAAGTTGGTGGACAGGTTGTTGCACATCAACTAAAAATAGCATCAATATAGAACTTAAGTAGGTTTCAATAATACAAGCAATTCTTTAAGCATGCAGACAGTGAAGATATACTAAGAGAGTAGGAATTATATAATTGATAGCTAATGCAGTCGATAGCACAGTAGAATAGAGAATGAGTGACGTGATAAAGAAGATGAAAGGAAACTTCACAGCACAAATGGATAAACACAAAGCTTCAATTCATTTCCCTGTATGATAGTATCTATGTGACAAATGGTAAATCTGAGAATTTTGTCAAGAAACACACTTGTGCAGTCTTTCTGGAAGAATCTAAGCTCCACAAATAGAGATTTTGCTCATCAATACTGATCAACTTGTCATGCCTTCCAGATGGCCACCACAGTGTGCTGCCGAGTACATTTGGGACATCAAGCAGCTTAAAAAAAGAGAAGGAATGGAATGTTAATCATGATGTTTTATTTTTTTTTTCATTCAGTTAGCCATAAACATTATTTCTCACAACACTGTAAGTCAATGACATGTTTTCAACTATGCTACATAGACTTCAACATATTGTTGGCTGGGTATCCAACTAAGCATCAGATCTAGCATCCAAGGACACAAAGAGGAGAGAGCCATGTACTCATGTCTTTTAAAATTCTTGAGTTATTGGCTAGGATAAAGTAGTGTTTCTGTCACAAAGTGCATTCAACATGCAGACTTCAATGCATGTCAAAACCAAACTTATCAGACACATATCCTTACCTAACACCTGTAGCATCCTACATTGACACTTTACATATTAGATAGTCCATGTAACATATGTTCTCTACTGAGGGTTGAATCCAATATTCCAGTGACTCCTAAAAGACCATAATCTAGCAAATTTACAACATTTTGTTGAAACTATATATAAAAATTTAAAAATTTTAAAAAAAACGATATGAGATACAAATATGATACGACGATATGACAAATCTAAAGTTTTGTAGCATTGTCCTAATTGAGACTACAATTTATCATAATACTCGAGCAACTAGCGCCTAGTGACTAACGGTGATAATCTATTCCAGAAAGTTCCCTAAAAAGCGAACGAACACAATACCTTCTGGAATATTAAACTGGTCTCATAGCTTGCCTCTGTCAAGTGGCAAGGTTTAGGTAACTACACTGGAAGGTTCAGAAGGGGAAGTTATTCTCAATGCAGCAAGCAATGCAGAATCATAAGAGGTTTTTATTCCTCGATGATACATCTAGTCTAGTAGTTGTTTTTTTCTATTAGTTGCGATGCGAACAGGCCTTTACTTATTAGATTAGTTGAGTAGGGTTGCGTTAGCTGTCTGACTAACTAAAACAAAACAAGCAAAGAAACAGCTCCTCAAATTTTAAATGCATGAGGAATTCAAACTCCAGATGTTGTAATGAATGTGTACAATTAGATCTCCATCAGACGCACACAAGCTAAGTTGCAAACATCCGCATGCACGCAAGTCAAATGTTTCCTTGTACATAAATTCAGATAATTTCAGATAGTTGTTTGTTCAAAATAAGTTTTGTAGCATTGTTAAATATGATAATATGCCTCATAAAAATAGCCAAATAATGTAGAGAACTCAGACCAATGATGGAAAGTTGCAGCTAGTTTACACTGGAAAACACATTTAACAATGCGATTGGAAACAAGACCAACACAACTCTTAACATAGAAGACATAATGTTTGTGCCCAAATCAAGGAACTTCCAATGATATCAGATTATTTTGTATCATATCACAGAACAGAGTTGTTGATCCTGGACAATAAACTCACCATTTGATCTTAGAATTATGGGCATCTAAGGAGCAAATACATTCCAACTGCGAAGAATTTAACTGGCCATACAGCTCAGGGATCTGCCATATTGCTGCTCCATACGATTCACCTTCAATAACAAGGCAAACTATCAAACCACTTTTTTTGTTTACACCACCAAACTTGTAGAGAAGTGAGGGAAAGAAAGTATGTAATCGACAAACCATTCCAAAAATTATTGACATGTTTTGTAATTATTAAACCAATTTGGTACATACAATTGACAGTTACAGTAGTGGCTTTCCCTAAGTCTCAACTCAACAATAGTTGCAAGGAAGAGCATGATCTAATATTTTCTTGTTCCTATTGGCTGTCAAAATGCAGAAACACAGGACAGCAAATTGGCAGTCCACCATGAACGTCAAACTAATTCTGTTGCTAAACAATCAAAAAGGGAGGAGTTCAAATGCCAATAAACCCACATAATCTAATACCACAAAATGCCTACAAGTGATTTAGAGCTAGCTATCCAATTCACCAAAAAGTGACCCATTGCATTGCAAGTGAACCATTAGAGCATTAATTATACAAGAGTCCATAGATTAATCATTCAAATTGCAAATCGAAACAATTTTCGTAATTTAAATGATCAATCAATTACCGGAGGAGGAGAAAACAGTGGATAAAATACGTCGATCAAAGGGGCAAGAAGAGAGGTCCCAGATCTCGTTCGGATGCGAAAACAAACCCTCGCACACAAGTTCAGTTCCGTCCGATGAAAGCCTAATCAAATGCACCTGAAACACATCTCCATTTCAATTCGAATCAAGATACTAAAAATATATATATATATATATATAAAATTGAGATCAATGAGAAGAAAATCACGAAACCTCGTTTTCTTCTTTGAGGCTGAGAGTGCCAGCGATGAAACTGGTGTGATCTGTATCTGCTTTGACATCTACAATGCATCTAGCCTGTAAAAAAGAAGATTACGAACCAGATTAGGGTTTTGTCAAGTGTAAAAGAGATGATGTTGAATTGAAGGGGGGTTTGATTTGGAGAGTTGTTTGACCTGGTATTTGAGACCATAACCAATGCCAGTTGATCCTCCTTGCATTGTTGCAATGCTTGCTTCATTACCGATTTCTTTCAGAGTCAGTGTGATGAGTTCTCGTTTTCTTGCTACACCGCGCACTCATCTTACCATCGATAACTGTGCGAATTTGAAGCCTCCAAGTTTGGTAGTTGGCTTGAAACTGACAGTGGGCTTCACAGCGGGTTCATTTTTCCAAAATAAGCCAAAATAGTAACTTATTTTCTAAATTAACATTAAGTCAAGTTTGAGAAAACTAAATAAATTTACATTTTTTATTTTTTTAATCATATTAATTAATATCTCTTCTTTATTTTTTTACATATCTTTTTATAAAATGTCAAAAAGTGTACTTATTTAAAACATTCCAAACAACCCCTTAGTTTGGACGAAATTCTCAAAATAAGTTGAAACGTTATTTCAAAACATGCTTTCATAATATTTCTGATCCCGACGCAAAAAACTTATAAAATCATAAGAGCATGGTTGTAAAGCACGCTTTTAAGCGTGGTTATAAATCATAGTTTATAAGAGCGTGGTTGTAAAAAACGCTTTTAATTAAGAAAGCGTGATTATAAATCATAGTTTTAAGGAAATCTGTTTTATAAAGAAAGTGTGGCTATTTAAAGAAAATTGTTTTGTAAATAAAGTATGGTTATAAACCACGGATTTAATGAAAATTCGGTTTTTAAAGAAAACATGGTTTGTAACCACGCTTTTGAACCCACAACTGTTGATTATTATTATTATTATTATTCAATTCACATTCTATAATTTACTTAGTCATCTTATAAATCTTTATATATAAATTATTCATATAAAATATCGTATTGATAAACAATCTTAGCTACCAAATTTTATTATTTTAATATTTAAAAATAAATTATGTAATTTTTAAATTATGTTTCGCATCCATTATTTTAAAAAAATGAGAAAATTATATGTACGATTATCAGATCAATTTGATATTTATATAAATAATTTATACATAACATTTAAAAAAAATAAACAGCATGAATTGTCTAAAGAGTAGTGATTAAGAGCTCTAAAACTAAAGTTCTGATTTAAGCTGTAATGATGTGGCATAAAAAAATAAAACGAAAACCACAAACAAGCAAGCATAAACATCATATCAAAGATTATTAAACTAAGATTTTACCATTGAATCAATGATCAACGCTTATGACTTTAAAAATATAAAAGTAAAAAAAAATATGAAAAAATGTAAATTAAATATTTGCTTAATTTACCTGATATTTTTTAAATTGTTATTTAAATATAAAATTTTAAAATAAATTTTTATTTTGTTATATAATTCAAATATAATTTAAAAAAGATCGATGATGGACAAAAATAAAAACAACAAATAAAAATTAAAAATTAAAAAAGAAGAAGAAAATAATGGCCTCGAGCGAGACCCTTATTTTCTGAAAATTCTGAAAAGTGTTTTAAAATACATCTTTGCATCCTCATTCCATCCTAGGCATTCCTAGGCCTAGTTTAAAGCATCTTAATGGGGATATTGATATAGAACCACACCGAGTCAAGTTAGGGACTAAGTTATTGTTTCCCAAACGTGCAACTTAGTGTGTGTTCATCCTGTTAACTGTGTAGGTTGGCATCCGAGGACGCTCTAGCCTATCTGTAGCCCAGTGCTCTGTGAGTAACAATGTTGTAAAGATATATTCAATCATGAATATTTTCTGAATGATCAACTGTAGTGCTTTCTGAAATGATATTTCTTACTGAATGAATGCTTGTCCTATTTGCAAATTGTATTCGTGACATCCATAGCAATTTATTGTTACTGTACTGTACTGCTACTGTCATAGAAATCTCTGTTAGTTCCCATGTTTGGAACCACCACTGTTTACTGATATAATGGCCATCAATTGACTGTTCGGTCTAATAAGACCTACTGTACTGTTTGTTATTGGATGTACCACTTATGACTGCTATGATCGAATAACTGATATACTGTTCAAATGACTGCTTTAAATACTGAAAGGACATTCATTCTTAACCTTTTTACGCATATGTTATTCACTGGGCTTTAGCTTACTGTTTATATATATATGTAGGTGTCCAGGCACCGGACCGGAGTTAGGAGCGTTGGGTTAAACTCCCTTTTTGTCAAGCCAACCAACGTGCCTCACTGCGAGGTTCCATGTGTGTCCAAGCTAAGGCTGCTTAGGGGAGTTTTAGATACCCCCTTTCTGTCTCCGTATTGTATAGACTGTATAGACTTGTACTATACTGTTATGATAGGGATTTGGTCCCTAACCCGAATGATTGTATATGTATGTATATACTGTTTTGTTTCTGAATGTGAATATGTGTAAAAAGTCTTTTTGCATACAGACTATTACAGTTCATTGGACATCTTTCATTTATTGTTTTGGCTTCCGCCAGCCCTTGTACTCTGTATTGCTGTTATTACTGTTAAGTAGACCTTCGGTAATCACGGATTACTGGCCGGTTACGGTGCTAAACCCATAGGGGCGGGTTTGGGCTGTGACATAGTGGTATCAGAGCGATATTAAACAACGAGTTATACTGCACACACGTGTCCAAATGAGCTATAGAATGTCCTAGAAAAGTGATTAGGGCATTGCATGAGCATTGAAAAAGTGTGTGTGTGGCCATGACATGAATATATGTGCTAATGTGTTAATATGTTAAGTATGCAACTGTCTATGTTTATAATTGTCATAATTGTCTATAGTGAAATAGATAACGCAAGAAATGCTGATGAATCTAAATCATCTGAGGCCAGAATGACAAGGCTCGAAAGAACAGTTGAACTGCTAACTGAGGCCTTAAGGCTACAACAGAACCAATAGCCCTCACCTCCTCCGATACAGCCGGAACAGAATGTGAATGATGACATCATTGCTCTAACACAGAAGTTCAGTAAAATGAAACCACCATCCTTTCAAGGAGGCCTTGAACCGTTAAAGGCCGAAACGTGGGTGCTAGAAACAGAGAAATTGTTCGAGGTATTTCCGTGTTTTGAAGCACATAAGGTGCTATTGGCTACCTTTACTTTGCAAGAGGAAGCTAGACGGTGGTGGATGCTTGTCCGTGACACCGACACTGTTATGACTTGGGCTCAATTTAAGGGAGCCTTTTTTGAGAAATACTTCCCTCAGTGTGTCAGGGATCGAAAAGGTAATTGAATTTGAACAGTTAAAATAAGGCACTATGTCCGTAGCTGAGTACGAATCGAAGTTCATTGAACTTGCCCGATATGCACCACACATGGTGGATACCGATTACAAAAAGGCCAGGCAGTTTGAAGGCGGCCTTAATGTTGAAATCCTTGACAGAATCAATGTTCTAAAACTACTGAAGTATGTAGATGTTCTTGACCGAGCAATAATGGCTGAGTCGAACATCGAGGCACTGAAACAGACTGAAACACCAGCGACCGAGTGGCGTGGTAAGAGACGAGGCTTCAAGTTTAAGAAAGGCCGGAACAGTTCAATGAATAAAAAGCAAAATACAGGGTCAACAACCAGTTCCAGTCAGGGGAGTGGTTCCATACCGCCCTGTTCTGAATGTAGTAAGAAACATAAAGGGGTTTGTTATAAAATTCCAGGTGCTTGTTACAGGTGTGGCAAGGTGGGCCACATAGTCAAAGATTGCCCTTCTGCTCCTTAGGGCAATAGTAAAGCTGCACCAAGCGTCGTAGCATCAACTGCCCCATCGAAACCCAACCCCAAAGAGATGGGAAAAGAGCCTATAAGGTAAGGCCGAGTGTTCACACTCGTACCGGGAGACGTACAGAATACCGAGACCGTTGTTTCAGGTATACTCTCAATTTGTGCTCAAAATGAATATGTTCTGTTGATTCGGGGTCTACACATTCATATGTATCGCATGCTTTTTCGCGCAAATTAAATAGACCGCTGGAACCTATGAACTATCTGTTAGCTGTATCTTTACCTGTTGGGGGATCCATGACTTGTGCTTATATGTACCCTGCATGTGAGATTATTGTTGGAGATGCACATTTGTATATTGATTTACTGCCATTGAATATTGATCATTTTGATGTGATATTGGGAATGGACTGGTTAACATGAAACACCAGCGACCGAGTGGCGTGGTAAGAGACGAGGCATCAAGTTTAAGAAAGGCCGGAACAGTTCAATGAATAAAAAGCAAAATACAGGGTCAACAACCAGTTCCAGTCAGGGGAGTGGTTCCATACCGCCCTGTTCTGAATGTAGTAAGAAACATAAAGGGGTTTGTTATAAAATTCCAGGTGCTTGTTACAGGTGTGGCAAGGTGGGCCACATAGTCAAAGATTGCCCTTCTGCTCCTTAGGGCAATAGTAAAGCTGCACCAAGCGCCGTAGCATCAACTGCCCCATCGAAACCCAACCCCAAAGAGACGGGAAAAGAGCCTATGAGGCAAGGCCGAGTGTTCACACTTGTACCGGGAGACGTATAGAATACCGAGACCGTTGTTTCAGGTATACTCTCAATTTGTGCTCAAAATGAATATGTTTTGTTGATTCGGGGTCTACACATTCATATGTATCGCATGCTTTTTCGCGCAAATTAAATAGACCACTGGAACCTATGAACTATCTGTTAACTGTATCTTTACCTGTTGGGGGATCCATGACTTGTGCTTATATGTACCCTGCATGTGGGATTATTGTTGGAGATGTACATTTGTATATTGATTTACTGCCATTGAATATTGATCATTTTGATGTGATATTAGAAATGGCCTGGTTAACAAAATATCATGCTACCATAAACTGTGTAACAAAACAAGTTATTTTCTGTCCACCTGGATTGCCTGAATTTGTGTTTAGTGGAATTGGTATAGTACCTCCCCATATCTGATTTCATCCATGAAAGCTTTAAAACTGATTAAAAAGGGATGTAAAGGGTATCTGTGTTGTATATTGATTGTACCTACTGATGCTAAAACTGATGTGAACAGTATTCCTATAGTCAGAGAATTCCCATATGTTTTTCCAGATGATTTGCTAGGGGATTTGATTGATAGGGAGATTGAGTTCACCATTGATGTGATTCCGGGTACACAACCAGTATCTAAAGCTCCTTACAGAATGGCACCGACTGAATTGAAAGAACTGAAAGTTCAGCTACAAGAGTTGTTAGATAAGAAGTTCATCAGACCCAGTACTTCGCCAT